CAGAGACTGAGAGAGAGCAGTCCAGGCAAGGCCTGTGCTGCCTCCTGGGGCAGAAGGCTGACCCTTCTCGGTGTAGTGGTCTCCTCTGCCGGGACCAGAGCTATGCCCATAGGGACGCTGTGCCCACACGCTCCTTCTCCCAAGCACAAGGCTGGTGTTCCCTCAGTCTGCTGGGTAGGGCAGTAGAGGATGAGCCCAGAGACCCTGTGTCAGGTTTGGCTTAAAAAATTCCAGAATTTAAAAAAAAAAAAAAAAAAAAAAATTCCAGTATAATAGGAATTCCTTTTTGTTTCCACAAAATGAAAAGTTTTCATAATGCTGGTCTCCTTGATGCCCACAGCAGTCCCCTGTGGTAGCCCCCTCAGGGTGCCTGTAGTGCACTCAGCATCTCAGACTTCTTCCGGACAGAAGGGATATGGGAGAGGTGGCTTGGAGCCTGGAGCTTCTGGTGGCACTCCTTATTAGATGAGAGCAGATTCTTGGGTCTCACTCCCTGCCTGGAAGCACTGCAGAAGAATTACCAGAAGTCCTACTCCTCTTGGGCCTCTCATTTGGCCCACATGCACAGTAAGAACACCTTGCGCCCGCCTCCACAGAGGCCCAGGTACCTGTGCCAGCTTCATTCCACGGGCCTGGGGAAGCCTGTGGTCTGCTGGGCACCTGCCTGGCCTCTGTCCCTTATCCCTCGTAATAGTTGGACCTGGCCATTCCAGCCTGACCCAGGGCTGTACAGGGAGCCAGGCCTCCCTGTGAATTTCCAAGAGCCCTCTCTGGGTATTCCTGGGCAGGCCCTCCAGGGAACATAAGTTTACTGTTTGCCATGGAGACAGTTTGGGCTTTTCTTCCAATAATTTGTTTGGTAATTCTAAGAGACTTGTGAAAAATGCATGAGACCTTCAATACAATAGATAAGCTGAAAAGCTTGGAAGAAAATCCACTTGTGGATAGCGGAGAGAATGGAAAAACTCTGCCTGCTTCCTTCCCTCCCAAGGGGGATCTGCTTAGGAGCGATTCTTCTGTTGGTGCCGGGCTTTCATCCCACATGCAAAGCTAGTTGGCGCCTGCTTGTCAGATATTTGTCTCCTTTGGTTTCATGTGGCTTCTTTCCCTCCTGAATTTGGCTTAAATTTGTGTTGTGATTCTGGGTTCTCTGTAAAGGTCCCTGCACTCACCCCTACCCAGGAACCAGAACCAGCTCTGTGTACCTCTCAGGCCCGGGCGGGGGCTCTTTGGAGGGGAGGAGGATGAAGGTCCATGTTCCAAGTGTCTCGGCTGCTGGGGAGAGTCAGGCTGTCTCAGCAGAGAACCATGTCTGGTTCCCTTTGGTGCAGGACGGCAGCCCACGCGTGGGCCTGCGGTGCTGCTTCAGTCGTTGCTCATGCAGCCCTGAGGGCCACCTCCACCAGTACTGTGCCTTGGCTTGTGAAGTGGCAGACTTGAGGAACTTGAGGTCATCCCTACAAGGACCTTTGGGGTCATCTGCATAACTTGTCATGTTGAAGATGAGGAATGAGGGATCAGAGAAGCCCAGTGACCTGCTCAAAGGTGACACGGAGAGGTGGCAACCCTGGGAGCCTTGGTTTCTTGGTTTTGAATTCTGGCCCAGCCACACTCGGCTGCTCTTGGTGGGTTGGGGGCAGGGGTCAAGCAGCTGCATGCTTGCAGGTCCTGGCCGAGTTTGGGCTTGATGGCAAGGCTGGTAGAGCCCAGTAGAGGCTGTTGCTCTTCTGCATCTGTGCTGCCCCCGCGGGATGCCCAGCACCGGTGGTGCGTGGTGTTGGTCTTCTTTCTCAGGAGAGCAGTGTGATTCATATATGGACGTGTCCATGTGAGTCATCGTGGGAAATTTCTCACGGATGAGGGCTCTTGTGCAATTAGAGACCTGGTCTCAAAGAGCACACCGGTCAGCTTTCTGTTGCTGTTATGGAATACCTGAGAGAAACACTTTAAATGGAGGAAAGGTTTATTTCCACTCGCAGTTTCCCAGGTCTCAGGCCCTGGTCACTTGGCTTTGTTGACGCTGAGCCTGTGTGAGGTGGAGCATGATGGCAAAAGGGCCCTGTAGAGGAAAGCCACTTGCTTCATGGTGGCCCTGAAGCAGGGAAGGAGTGGAAGGGACCGGGGAGGAGATACATCCCCTAAGGACATGCCCTCAGGGGCCTGCCCCCTTCTGACAGGGCCCACCCTGGAGTTTTTATCACTTCCTAGTAACAGCCCATCATGTCATGAACCTGGTGACAGAGCACCCATGGATGGAGTCAGAGTCCCCCCTCAGGATCCAGAAGCCCCACCTTGGAAGTCACTGCCTTGGGAACAGAGCTTTCAACACAAGCGCCTCTAGGGAACATGTCCAAGCTGTGACACACTCTGATAAAGGGATGGTGCCAGGAGGGATAGCTGCCAGGAGGGGGCAGCCCCCAGAGGAAAGGCCAAGCTGTGTTCACAGCCCTGGGCATGCTGGTATGGCCTACAGGCAGCTCTGTGCAAACCGTTCCCCAGGAAGCCTAGGGCATCCCCACAGGCCATTCTGTGGATGCTCCACATCAGTTGCCTGGCTGCTCTGTACAAGCATCTGACTGGTGGCCAAGGTGACCCCCCGAGGGTCGCAATTTCAAGAGGGAGGAAGAAGCAGGGAGGATGGTTTGTGTGCCACATTTAGGCCTGAAGCATGCGTGCATTCTGCAGTGAGGGAAACCTGAGGCCTGTGTGCAGTGTATGAGGGAGACCGAGGCATGTGTGCAGTGAGGGAGACCGAGGCATGCGTGCAGTGTGCAGTGAGGGAGACCCAAGGCCCGTGTGCAGTGTGCAGTGAGGGAGGCCCAAGGCCCATGTGCAGTGTGCAGTGAGGGAGGCCCAAGGCCCATGTGCAGTGTGCAGTGAGGGAGGCCCAATGCCCGTGTGCAGTGTGCAGTGAGGGAGACCGAGGCCCGTGTGCAGTGTGCAGTGTGCAGTGA